ACGAAAATAGTTTCTGAATACGACGAAAATAGTTTCTGAATACGACGAAAATAGTTTCTGAATACGACGAAATAGTTTCTGAATACGACGAAAATAGTTTCTGAATACGACGAAATAGTTTCTGAATACGACGAAATAGTTTCTGAATACGACGAAAAGAGTTTCTGAATACGACGAAATAGTTTCTGAATACAAGAGTTTCTGAATACAACGAAATAGTTTCCGAATACAACGAAATAGTTTCTGAAGACTAGTTTCTGAATACAGTGCAGTTTCTGAATCCGACTTTGTTCAGTCGTATGGGCCCTGCGCTTCCAATTCCAATACATAGTTCCTTCATGTTCGTCATTGGAGATCTCAGAAGTTTCGAATCACCTAAGCAGCAAGCAGCTTTGCAGGCCGCCACCTCCTGCATCTTCTGGAACCATTGCTCAGCAGCAGCACAGCCGGACGATTTCAATGAGGCATTCACCAGCGCGTTAAAGCTGTGCCTTGGCTGTGAAGCGGCTGCTGTTTTGGGCTCAAATGATCCTAAAACGGCCTGATAAATTCAAGAATGATACGCTCTCTCTCTCTCTCTCTCTCTCTGCTCTCTCTCTCTCTCTCTCTCTTCTCCTCTCTCGCTCTCTCTCTCTCTCTCTCTCTCTCTAGGGTCCGACCGATGGGTCCATGGTTCCTTTTGAGCCACACTCTGTTGTGTGAATGCACAGTGGGAAGGAGGTCCAGAAATGCTTCGCGGCTGCAATAACGGTAGTGTATTTGGAGCTGGATAGTTCATCAGGCGTGCCAGAAAACACTTCTGCAGCTGAATAGTTGGGACATGGCTGGGTGTTGGGGTTGAGAACTTCATTGGGTGTGAGGCGGAGTGAGGAGACAACCTTCAGGCCATTTAGCCTGAAGAGTGCAAATTGCATAACTACATTCCTCCTTGGTTTCCCCCTGGCTGATTTCTTTACGCAAGCTTGCTCAAATCTTAGATGAACATCTGTCAAACAAAGCATTCTTGATGTTGCTATAATCTGATTATGAGGTCGCAACTTTCAAACATCTATGATGGAAGCCAAGAATGGCCCACTGGGGATCACTAGGGCATCGCAGGGCTGTGATCGTTCGGCCTTGGTCTCCGATATGATCTGGGGTGGGTTGAAAGTCCAAGCCATTCCAAGCCAATGTGCACTCTCCTCCACTCCCCACAAAACAAACAGTAAATGATTTAAGAAAAAATATATCATAGTAAAATACAATAAACTGTGTTATGAAGCACCTTTCCATCCACTCTCCAACTCTGTTCGCCACGATGCACGTTGGGTCCCATCTCCTCAAAGTGTCGGATCACCGCTTGTAAGTCGCCCTCCTTGGCCTTCTGCCGCATCGCCGCCAGGCCCTTGAGACCTCCGTTCCGCAGGTCAGGTAGTAATGCACTTGTTCCTAGTAGCGATGCACTTAGTTACTAGTAACTTCTTGTTACTAGTAGCTAAGTGCATTGCTACTAGTAACAAGTGCATTACTAAGTAGCAAATAGCTATATACTAGTATATAGCCTAGCGATGCACTTGTTACGAGTCATCAGCAAACATGTTCTCCATAATCCAATTTGTTTGGATGGAGATACTGGGGATGTTGGCGCTTCTGTTGGGAGGCTTTGCCACAACAGGCAACATTCCATCACTGGGGCCTTAGGATGTCAATCATGAACGATGTCTTGCCGGGTAGGAATGCGATCCCATATTCCACTCTTATAAGATCCAAAGCCGAACTGTTGAAACAAAACGTAGCGCAGTGAACTTCGCTGCCAAAGATCGAGGGATCTCCGTCTTCGGTTTCTTGACCTCGGACTCGGTCGACCCGTCTGAAGCTGCAGCGTCTCCTCTGGCGACAAAGCACAGGAGAGGTGCGTCTCCCAGCTACATGGACTGTTTTCCTTGGGAAAGAAGCTGGGGTATCACCATCACTGTAAAGGAGCCGAAAGCACTTCTCAATGCCACCGGTCTTGGTATATTAGCATGTCACCAAAAAAAAAGGATCCTTTCTATCCCGCACAGATTCTCTCATGACTGCAAGTTCTGCCTGAAGGTCTCACGAATTATCCAATGTGTGCACAAACACATTCCTGTTCGAATGGGGTGCTGTCACCAAATGCAACTCAAGCGGCAACCCAACAAAAATGCCCACATGACATTTTTACAAACTACTTTGTTTCTTTATGTTGTTTGCTTTTCTTTGGAGGACCCCAGTATGTCACCGAGAACGTTCTGCAATACCACCAAAGCCAGCGATGCAAACTGGGAACGGTCTGGAAACTTGACGAAGGCTATATCTCTCTTTGAATGCGACAGTAGGATCTGCAACAAGCGACCAACTACCAAATCACCTGACATGGAGATGTTGGCTGCCACACCACAAATCAGCCGTGGCCCAAATCTCACTCCTCTTGCACCACGAGTTGCTGATAAAAGCGGCACCTCCGGAGGGTTGGGCGTTTATAGACCGGATCGCCATTGATATCGATTCATTCAAGTCATCCCAAACTGTCCCAAACAGAAGTCAGTCATCCACGTAATCATATGTTATATATAAATATATGCTTTCCTCCTCCTCCTTCTGCTGCTAAAGAGCGATCTCCTCATGTGTGAATCACGTGACCCTGCCTCACGTGCCCGCCCCCGCGACATGGGCCGTTCCTGACTCTCCAGGAGATCTGGGCGGATGCATCTGGAGCCCAGGAGCATACAAAGTCCAGCCTCAAGTCCAACACGTGGACACAAATACCCAGCAAAAAACATACAGTATATAACTCATAAAACGGCCTTTACAACAGGGCCGTCAATCAATATCGCTCTGGGTGCTTTCTGGTGAATCGGACCCATATTAGGATGTCTGGAGTCCGTCGGCCAGAAACAGAAACATGTTCGTTCGGCAGGCGCAATGTGTTCGTTGTACTCATTGTGCTCATACATCCCCACAAAAAAAGGATCCAAAAGGGATAAAAAGGGTATGCTGCTCAAGCTCCATGCTTGGTGATGACAACGGAAGGGGTTGGAACTGTCACCGCTGGGATGTTGCACAGACCCTTACCAAACAAACCGCTCGAGGGAGTGGCCCCCAAACCCTGATCCTAACATCATCTGTATAGTGCATAGAGATTCGGTTGAGTATCTTCAAGTTGAAAAAAACACTGGACACAAAGAATCTCAGCCCTCATTCCTGATTTGCAACCATCCATGAGGACAAAAGCAGGACTTGCATGGCTGACACCAACTCTCCTTCAATGCCTGCATGCAAATGATCTTCGGATCTTCCTCACTACTAGCCACACGATGCGGATCTGTTTCAAAAGTTCGTCTTACTGACCGTGACCTGCCGTGCGAACCTACCCCAACCATCACAGTTGCAAGCATGTTACCAGCAGAGTCTCGATCACACAATCGCAGGTCATCTCAATCATGCATACCTAGGCCAGCACATACAATTGCAACAATTAACCTCATTCACGTAAATCGTTTGTTTAGAGCCGCGACTCAACAGGTTGACCTTGGTGGGTCAGAACCCAAGTGCCATCCAGTGCCTTTGTTGGACATGTTTACATATGTTTACTGTGCTTGCGACACATGTTGTGGTTGTGGTTGTTGTGGCGCTGCTTGTTGCGGTTGATGTGAGACTTGTAGTACCAGTCATGTGCAGTCGATAATCTTTGTCATCACCAGGGAAGAGATTGTTTGGCAGCATATCTCCATCAAGTGAGTGACCCTTTGTGACTCTGATCTCTGATTTAGCTTAGCCTACAAGCTTCAGCATGTGTTGCTTTCCTGGCTCCAAAGGATCTGAATTGGACTAGCCAAACAGCTCAGCTAAAGACCTGCGAGACGGAACGGGGTAATCTTCGAGATCCATGGGGGACATGGATTAGACATACCTGTGACATATCCCACCAACGTTCACTAAAAATCCATAACACACAATCTATACACCACACAGGCCTCCAAACGACTCTTAGCGCAAACAGAATGACTGATTGCATCTTTCGGATCCAAGTTCATAGACAAGTGACTATGTGAGCATGTTGCAAAGTATTTCCTCATGGATCATTCCATCGAATTAGAGCGTTCCGAGATTGGTTCAGAAATCCAACCTTTTTGTGTTCCCACCACACCAACGAATCCCACAAGTGGACTGCCTAGCCACCGTTGATGCTACACCGATGAGAAGGACCACGTTGACCAGGCTGGGCTTCAGTGAGGGCCAGAATCGAGCTTGTGCCATTGCCTGGCGTAGCTTGACCCCCAACAGAACCCTGTTGAATTGCCTGGACGAGTGCACCGTCCATAGTCCAAAAATGTTTCAATCTTCATACCTTGTTAATATCATCACAAACCACTCAAGAACTTATCAATAGACTCGCCTTTAACTTGTTGGGTGCCTCCCTCAGGCTCCACTTTGGCTTGGCGTAAGTAGGCGTGCTGACCGCTTGGGAGCCAGCACTGCAGATGAATCACCGGTCAGCTTACTGTGCAAAGCCGCTGTATTCTGGTGTCCTTTACTCCACTGAGGGCATTGGTCCGTCTTAGCTTCCTCCGAGGTTCCAAAACAAGATTGTGCACCAATGCGTTTGGCTTAACTAATTGAAACAGCTCCAAGTAAAGCTGGCCTTGTGCTTAACCTGACGCAAGTAAACAATCATCCGAACTCTCTCCCCAAGAATCTCCACGCAGAATCCTGGACAGAAAAAAGTCACATCACATGCCAAGTCATGATCATCCAATTGAGCTGCCGGACACATATTCCGCAGCCCAGAGGCAGCTGCACCTCAGTCCGTCTCGATCTGAGGATTCAGTCCATCCTAGAGCATTGCCCGGTGGGCATGACTACATCTCAAGTCGGAGAGCAAAGACTTTGTAAAAAAGAAGTGGTTGTAGAATGTCATAGGTATCTATAGATCTCGTTGTAGGATGCACTACATATCCATGGCTGCATTCTTTGCAGGTCTTTGGACAAAGTAACCCAAGACAAAAGGCTGGCCTCTCAAGCCGGGCAAGGGGTGCTTCAACAGCTCGATGAGCACCGGCAGGGCCTTGAAGTTTGAGCTCAGGGACGATCTTTGCTGTTTTAACATAAAGACAAACCAAGAAAACACCTCCCGTCTTTGGCTCGTTTGTGGTCTTTCTACATAACCGGCTTCCCTAGCAGTGCTAGCATCACGTGTCTTTCCCGCAGTACTTGTTCTATCCATTCTGATTCGAAGCCATGTAGAGGAAGACCGTTGCCAGTAGGAAATGTCACAGTCGGGAATAGAGAGCCAGTTGTCCTGACCTGGGTTCTGGACCTTGTGGTTCCCAGAGTGCAGCCCATCGAAAGGAGAAGAGCTGAAATACTAGACTCTAGACCCCGCTTTCTTGGCCACCCAAGATAAAATCTGTGCCTGATGGCAAGAGACCCCAATGAGGCAGTTGAGGTGATCCTTTCCCAACACAACCTATGTAAGACGTCCCAATCCTGCCACCGGACACTGCCACTTCGAATCAAGTTGTTTTTCGGTGAACACCGCGACTGTCAAAGTCCTGAAGACTTGGTTGTCCAATTTGTCCCACCTACCCACTTAAAAGTTCCAGTTCCGCGCAATAAAGACCCTTATGGACTGTGTTTGGGACTTAGGGTTCCCATGGGCTCCCAAACACCAGCTTCGTAGGCAGCGCGTGCATTCAGGCCTGGGAGACCCGGTGAAATCAACCAATCCGTCGAAACATGTAAGATTAGCTTCTTGTTACTACTAGTGAGGCACTTGTTGTATGATGCACACATTCTGTGTTTTTACATGAATCACGTCATTAAAGAATGTAGTCAGTCGTAAAGTAGCTAATTACTAACGAAGCACCGGACAACGAGCATGTCAGTAAAGGATACAATGTGAATGGCGCTGAATATGTTCTCTTCATGGGAGGCATTCGAGAACAAAAATCAGATCACATCAAATGATGTTGCAAAATTATCTTCAAAGCCCCATTAGCATCCTGCTGGATATATGATAACAAAATGATATGATATAAGTGCATCCATAACGACCCCCTGGACAACACAATAAAGCCCAGAGCTTCTGTTGGGATCAGAGGTTCCCTCTCAAAGGGATCTAGCTGAGTCTAAGGGATCTTGTACTAAAAAATGACAAAAACATGCCACGACAGAGACCCCTTCATTCAATTTGTCTGTTCCCCACCCGGCCAAAATGAAACACATGTATCAGCTGTTAGCTCATAAGACATCTCTGCCGCAAATCCAATTTCTTCAAGGTTCAGGTTAAATGTCTTGTGTCCGAGTCTGAGTATCCAAAGCCCATCCATCGCACCCCCTGAGCTCCCGTACCGCTCTCCTCTGTGAGATACTTCAGCGCCTGAGGGGTTGGGACCCCACCGGACGAGGAGAGCAAAAACGAATCATGAACTTGATTCCAACACAAAATGATTCGCAAACATGATTCAACACACTTCAGTGACGCATCCTGAAAATGCCATTGAATACACGCGTTACGCGTCTTTTTGATTTATGGGAATCCACCATAATCCATCTTCCCCAAAACCAACGAATATGGAATACTGTAATTGCATTGAGTCAAACGCGTCGGGTTCCGGGAAAAAAGACAATATATATAGTTACTGAAGATTACAAAAATCCCTGCTGCTCTGATTTTTGTCAACCTTGCTACATATCATTTTTAAAGAGGCATTCACGGGCCTGGTGGATTTGGTGAGGACAATCTTTTATATGGTCCCTCTGACACTAAAGGGCAAGAATGGCAACACCAAACTGCGACAACAAAAATCCAGTACAGGGCGTCCCAACCCGCAGGGGCCCTAAGATTCCTAACCTCGACGCTACCTGCAGCAAGTAATCCTATCATTATGCAGTAATCCAACAGCAAATAAATCTTCACCGTCCAGAACATCTGCATTAATTTTTCTGATGTTAATTCATCCTTGAAGTTCGCTTGGTGTCCCAGTCCCATCTCTTCAGCCCCTCTCAAGCACCACTTTCTGCAGCTATCTCTTGGCCCCACACCACCACAGCAGCTTGCGTGGAGTCGGCCTCCTGTCAAGTTCGACTCGATACCAAATACATCCAAATAAGTGGAATCTGGATCGGTTCAAGGTTGATTGAAGGTCTTTGGTTGGAAACATAGCCACCATGCCACCATGCTCTGGCAGCCAATAGTGGGGGTTGCCTTTTTGCCATGCCCGTTCCTGCGTCTAGCGACAAACTGGAAACTTTATTGCAGAAGGTAGTAGTCCTCCGCTTGCTTGATCTATCCTATTCTATCCTGATCGCGTTGTTGTCGCTAAATTCGTGGTGGCGAGCGTGAGGATCGTGTCTCTGGCGGATCCCGGGAAGCGTAGCAGCACCCACGTGGAGGGAGACAAATGGCGAGACACTTCCAAACAAAACCCTTCCCCTACACTACGAGCGCGTTCGTGTTTGAAAAGGCATGAACTTTGGCGCCCGGGAATCTGCCGGACAGCTGCCGCATCACAGTCAAGAAGCAACTACACCCGGTCGCAAAAGTGGTGCTGTGGAGTCGCGCTGTCAGCCAAAGGAACTTGCACCGCGCCTCGACATTGTAATGATGAATGGGGTCGGGACGCGACCCACTCAAATGACCTACCATTTAATTTCAGCAAAATTAGTGCCCGCGAGGTCCTGGGGCAACAAAAGGGGGGGTGTGCGCACCCTGCGCCAGCCGAGCAGGTTCGGGCAGCGGCGCTGCCTTTGGGAACCCCCGGTCTATACTCACTGATTGCAGATTGGTTCGTATTGGTTTCAAACGCAGGTAATGGAGCGCTCTGATGGGAAGCTCTTTCTCTCCTTTGCCTAGATCTACTTAGTACTTATTTACTTTGCGTTGGCAAAACATTGAACGACTGGACAAACCCACTCGACCAAAAGAAGGCCGTCAGTCTCATTTGGGGGCCCAGGTATTTGTATTTCTCTGCGGCTTGCATGACTGGACAAGCGGCAAACTAAGAGGGAGAGAGACATTGGAAACTTGGCGAAAAATGATAAAAATTGAGAAAAGTGCATGAGTTAGCTCCCTACAAATGCTCATCGGTTCTCTTGCTCAGCATCTTGTCAATATAGCCACCTCGCTGACTTGAGCAAAAACCTTTAAACAACTTCACTGTCACCCAAAAGCGATCCAAATCCTTTTGGACTCCCCTCATTAGTACCTCTACAGACGTCAAGCAAAGGTCACGGTGCTCTCGCCGTCTTTGCACAGGTGCCTTTCATGTTGGGAAGCTGTACAGTGTACAGGGTTGCGAAGGTTTCAGTTGGTTTGAGCAGCTTCATGATAATTTTCATCTGATATTACCGTGAGGGGTATTTATTTCGAGCTTCCCTACAAGAAGAAGCGCGGTTTTTCTGTGGTTCCACAACCCTAAGCTCTTCCTGCCGAGCAGCTGTTCCCCTTCCCCTGTTTCATCGAACAACCGTGATACCGATGAGCGTCTTAAGCGATCGCGGTGACTGAGCGTCCTGAAAGCGATTACGGTGGGTGACCTGGTTGAGCAAACAACTGCCATCCCATAAGGCGCCACAACAACGACCCGACCAGCCACCTGTCTTTTAAAAAGCCCGTGGCCCTGCCTCCTTATTAAGCTACTACACAATTAAGCTACTACACATGGACGCAGGATAGCTCACGCACTAATGATTTGGTTCCTAGATGTTTGGGGGAACTTACACCAACGGTCACCCGGAGTCACCCTCGGTCGCCTCTGAGTTGAGCAGCTGTACCAGTGGAGGGATGGCTCCTGCCAACGAAAAGTGGGAGAACTGTTAAACTCCCACTCCAGGGTCCAAGAAGCATTGACCCTGCCAAGCCGTGTGTGTAGGGAGTTCCATCTTAGTCTGCAAACTAACATGTTCCTCCTTTTCGATCTTGCCTTACATATTCGTCTTCCTCATATGCTGAAACACGCTTCCTACATAGAGCCACGTTGGAAGCATTGGTAATTGGCAACTCTCGGAAGGTCCAATTCGGCCTGCTTTCCCGATGTCTTCCCGTACGCTGGCATCATCCTCGCATGGGGATACATGGTCTCTCGGGCCGTGACGCTTCAAAAATACGATGGAAGAGAAGCACTCAACTCGATTGGAAAGAGGGAAGCACCTGGAGTTCGGTGTGAGTTGGCTTTGAACTGACAAGGTCGTTCTATATAGCTACTAGAAGTTCAATGACACGGCAGTCGAAAATGTTTGTCAGGGATTTGGAGGGACAAAAGGAACATGAAAGAACGTTGAAGGAACCATTGCAGAAGAAAATATATACTGTATAAAAGCCATATTGCCTGCAGCACAATAGCAAACCATGTCGCAACAATTCGCAACCTATAAAACCATATCCTAGAGTAGGCTCTTTGGATCTTTCCAGTCACAACAACAAGTCAATTGTCTATTACGTTCCAACAACTAACCACGACATGGAGAATGCCTT